CCCGGCCCTCCCCGCCCTGCTGCGCCCCGAGGTCGGAGGAGCGGCATCTCCTCGCATCTACTTATTGCGTGTGCTGCTTGACAAACGGGGTAAGACTGCTCCATGCTGAACTGCATAGCATAGCATCAACAAAGCATGAGTGCGCTCCTTTGCGCCTCCGCCTCACAGTCGCGAGCCGCTCTCCGCGAGTCTCGCCTCGCCCCGCGCCCGCCCGCGCCATTCCACAAGCACGACCCAGCGTCCCGAGGCGCCGGCGACCTTCCATTGGCAAATGACTTTGGACTTTACGTTCGTATCGGGTCCATTCCGGACGATTCAGGAGGCGGAGGCACTGCCCCGCTGCTTGCAAACACACCCAACTTTTCAATTTGCCCGCTCCTCGCGCGCTAACTGGCTTGCACCGTAGCGGACGTGGGGACGCATACAGTCGCAAAAGGCCTAACTGGAAACGACGTGGCGGCCGGACCGTCGTAAAAAAACGGAAAACGCAGGGCGGGAGCGAGAGAGAGAGAGAAACGGACATAGGAGAGTGCGAGAGAGTGAGAGGGAGAGAGATAGGAAGAGAGAGACCAGTCGTTTTCGAACGACGCACACGGCGCGTGACGTTTTAATGGTGGGTGCTTGCATGCTCCACCCCATTTGTGTGCCTATGTGTGTGTTTGTGTGTGTGTTCTCAACCCCAACACAATGATTCACGCTCGGCTCCAGCTGCCGCTGAGTAAGGCGGGCCGGGCGGTGCGGTGCGGGGCGGTGATCGTTGCTCCGCAGATGCTATGTCTGTGCTGCGCTATGTCGATGCGGGCCGCAGCCGGAGCGTCGGGAGACACATATCGCAGCTGTGTAATGTGTCTGTCCCCCGCCTAGACCATATCACTGCTCTGAATTTGCTGTCGACATGCTGTGAGCAAGGGAGACACACAAGCGAGCACTGTGAAAAATATAGTCGAAAATTTACAAAAATTTTGTAAACTTGAATTATAATGTGAGTTGTAAATTCACGAGAGCACATTTTTAAGTCGATACGTACTGCGTGTATTTTTACGATTACAAATTGTAGTTTTAAAACTTGCGTCAGGGAAAATTTTCCTGTGAGAGAAAGAGAGAGAGAGAGAGAGGCAGACGGATAGACAGAGACAGAGTGTCTAGAGTGTGTTGGCCGTATCTTGCCCCCGCGCTACCCCCCACAGCCCCGCCGCAGCCGCACCCCTTTGAAATGCGGTTTAAAGTATAGTTTACTGGCCAAGCATGATCAAAGGGAAAAGGGGGGGCAGGGCGCGGCTGAGAACGGAATGTGCCGTCTGGGGGCGGTGAGGGGGAGCCTGTCTGCCCCCGGGGGCGGCTCTTGTGCAGCAAGAGAGACAAAGTCTGGCCCTCCCTGGCCCTCCAGCCAGACCCACTACTGCACAACGCACTTGCGCGGCCGCGTCCGGCCCCGAGACCCTACAGCAGCCCTGGGACTGGAGGAGAGAGGAAAGTGCGCACAGCTCTATTCTCCTCGCTGCGCGCACCGCTCTCTGGCTCTCCTTGGCCCTCCGCTTCACTCAGCGCGCTAACTGTAGCCGAGAGAGAGAGAGAGAGAGGGGTGGGTGCCGCTGGAGAGCCGGGGCTGAGTAGAGGCTGAGGAGAGGCAGCGCGGCAAGCGCGGCGGGGAGATAGGGGTGCCTCATACTGTGAACGAGAAAGAGAAACAGAGAGGGAGAGAGAGATGGGGGGCGGGGGGAGCACACAACAGGGCATCGGAAACTAAATTACCGAGGGAGGAGAGCGGACGCACCGGGGCGGGCGGTCCATGCACACGGCGAGGATGTGCGCGCGTAGAGCGGGCGCAGAGTTTGTGTGCGAGGAGGGGGGGGGGGAATACAGGTAGAAGGGGGCAGACTCTCAGACTCTCTCTGACCTCATGCCCTACCTACACGACGTGAAGTAAGTAAGACAAGAAGTAGCTGTCAAAATGACTATCATACCGAACCTTCGCGCTATGCTCCATGAGCTTGCTGTGCCTGCCAAGCGACCCGATATACCAGCGCATTCTTTAATTTTTAAACCTCCCGCGCCAACCGCGCCACATCTCGTGAATCAATGAAAATCCCTGCCTCGTGACCCGTGAGGAGGCGGGGGCCGTCCGTCCGGACCGTATTGTTTACCGGAGCGGAGCGGAGCCGAGCGGCTGGCAGACCGACAAAAATTAATTGGGGCCACTGCGAGGGCGGAACCAGGGCCAGGGCTCAGGGCCCAGGGCCAGGGCGAGTCGCGCAGGTGAACGGGAATCCGTGTTTATCGCGAGCACACGCGCAGGCCGTGGGCATATACATGTGACATAAAAATAAAATACCACTGTCAGGCAAAACGCGAACGCGTGTGTGTGGGATGGGGGAAGGGGGGGGGGGTCATGTCCGAATGGAAGCACGGAACCATATGAGCGTGGTGGCCGCGGCGGCCCCCCAGCCCCGCGAGCCGCCTCTTCCCACTTGCGGGTCACGTTCCCGTGTCAATCCCGCTCACGTTTGTGCGTCCCGATGCCTTCATTTGCCCTCTTCAGCCTGCGCCATCGCGTCCCTTTGATGTGTGGCCGCGCGGTGGGCAGCTGCGCGGGTGGCCACTCACCCTGCTGGGAGGGCCGCTAGAGCGTCGTTCAGGCGTCAGCCGCGGCTGGCAGCGACTCGGTGAGCCGCCTGTTAAGTGGTCAGCGCCCTCTTCTACACTGTAATTTCAAAGGCGTACCGGGAGAGGGCGACAATGGTGTAGAACAGTGCAATTTAAGTCACACCGTTTAGAAAACCGCTTACCTCTGGCGACCCTCTGGAAAACCGCTCACACCGCATCATTAGAATCAGCGTCTTTCAGAGATCATTATGGTACCAATATCTCCGAATGTGCAAGAAGCCATTTAAGCGGTTTTCCAAACGTTCTGCAGAAGTGAGCGGTTTTCCAAGGGGTCACCATAAGTAAGCGGTTTTCTAAACGGTCGCTAGAGGTGAGCGGTTCTCATTCTCGCGTGTCGAAGTGCGCTCCCAAGGTGTATGCAGGTCAAGCACCCGCTCAGGGTATAAGTCTTCTATCTTCCTTACTTCGTGGTGAGGCGGGTTGTGTCCGCGTTTACCCAACTTCAATCACTTCGCAAAGCAGTCGGCTACGGCTGCGTTCCGTTCCTTTAGATAATTAAGCTGAGGCGAGCCTTAGAGGAGCGTCATAGCGAGCGAGAAAGAGAGAGATGTGGCTCGTTGTGAAAGGGGGAAAAGAAAATGAGTGAGGAGAGAGAGAGAGAGAGAGGTAGCAGTGGTGGTTGTGGAGGAGCGACAAAGATGGAGAGAGACTTTTTTGTCGTTTTTGCCGCGCCTCGCCTCCGCTCCCGAAGCAGCCTCGCCTCGGTGCTGCTGGTTGTAATCAGCGAGCAACAGCACCTCGCTGAAGAGGTCGGGGTTGGCGGAGGTGTGCGGGCGTGGGTGGCGGAGAGGGTCTTGATGCCGAGGAAGTGGCCCGGGCAGGCTCTTGCGCCTGCGTCACCCCCACTTCCTCTCAGCTCTCCTCCTCCGTCCCCAAGGTCCCGGCCTGCTGCATAGGCAAGCCCGCGCAGGCGGCCCGTTGCGTTGGATTGCCTACTCTCGCCTTCACACAGGCGGCTCGGAGTTCCGGGAATGCAAGCGGGGCTGCTGCTCTAATAAATAGGGGAAGACAACTCGGATGAAAAATGCTGCGACTTCGCTAGAATATTACATTATCCCCTCCCTCCCTCCCTCCCTCTGTTGCAGTGCGACTCGGGCGCCGGCGTGGACGCATTCTTCCACGCGCTGTACGCGCTGCGCTCGCGGGTGACGCTGCTGCTCGGCTCGGCCTGCGAGGACGTCAGCGAGAGCCTGGCCAAGGTGGTGCCCTACTGGAACATCGTGCAGGTGGGTAGCGGTCGTGCGGGGCGGCGGCGGCGGGGGGCTTTACCCCTGTGAGGGGCTGGCGTAAAGTTTCCTTTGCCTCCCCTCTCTCCCTACTAATCTACCACCGGGCAGGGGAGGGTGAGGGTGTGGGCCAGGAAGGTGGGTAGGGAAGAGGAGATGCGGGGCGGGGCGGGGCGGGGCGCGGCCAAACCCGCAGCGGCCTGCCGGCCCGACCGCATCAGCCTAATACATATTCGTTTGTCAGGGGCGGGGAGCGGCCCCCTGTATGATGGGCCGACCACAGGATAATACGAGCAAAGCATAAAGGACAAAAAAAGTATTACAATCACGCAAACTGGACAAAAACAACACAAGTACGTAGTAAAAATGGTTCGCGTTGTTATACAGGATGGGTGATCTGCGCTGTCTTTTTTCTGGTTAAAGGATACAGACGTGCATGCTCGCACAACCAGAAAATCGTTTCTTCGAGACACGGCGCGAAATGGCCTTATGTTAAAGAAATTAACCTTGAATTAAGGAGACGGCATCGTTTCTACCAGATACAGTTGATCAAAAATAATTAATTTCGGTTTTGTTGAGTTGTTGAGATAAGGTTAAACAAAAATAATTAATTTTGGTTTTGAAAAGTTTAGATCAAAAAAGCGCCCGCAGTTTAACAGGGTGCACACTCATTCAAAACCTTTTCATTAAAAGAAAAAA